GCAATCTAGTAGAAGAAATGTAATGCTGAAAATAGCCGATCTTTAGTAACTTTTATGATATCTTAAGATCCTTAAGTACCTATTAGTTCTATTAAATATCTTAGTGATAGAATTTTAGGGTTACTACTGAAGTTATTAATGTTACTTTTAGCCAACTGGTATTAATTTAGTTTCTTGGGATACAAAAACTCAGCTGGTTTACAGAGGGTGATTTTTGTTTCTCACCTCTTTCGCAAGTACAACATTCTCAGTTATTACTTCATCGCTTTCTTCCTATTCAGAAGACACTTAGGTACTTGTTCCATATCCCTTTCTTGATAAAGTTAAATATAACCAATCTAAATACACTTCTAAAAACCAGTAATATACCTATCATACTCGACTTATAAAAGAAAACTTTTCCCCTCCTCTGGTAATCCGCCCTTTGCCTCATCTTGAAGACATCACACTTATGCATACCTTTGTCCTCTTTTTAATAAAAAAAGTTTTATACATAATAGCTGCATTCAGTTCTGAAGACACCCCTTGGGCAGTAACCGAAATATTTTAAACAGTGAAAAACATTTTGTTGTATTGACTTTTAGTACTTACCTATATTTATTATTTTTATTCAAACCCTTATAATTTAATATCTGAATAGTTCATGAAAATAAATGTTGCTTATAGGAATTTTAGCTTTTATAAATATATATTGTTTTTATTAATAAAAAAAAGGAGAACACCATTAACTTTTTAATTTTTATTTGATTTTTAATGTACAGGGTTTTTCATTATAATTTGACCGCTATTTATTTTCATTATTATTGCAAACACAAAAAAAAGTTTTAAGTAAAAGCTATGTTGTTCTATCTTTACCGACTATAAATGTAATAACAGGCTGAATTGTATATACAGGACGACTCCAACAAAATATAATTTAATTTTTTTAATGGGACACCCTATACATTTTTGTCATTTTAAGTAGATTTGCATTTCCTGATTACAAATATATAATATTTTAATTATTTAGTGGCTTATTGCACTATGCAAGCGTAACACATAGATGGCTATGAAAATGATGTTTCCAAGTGAAACAGTTGTTTGTTTATTAAAAGTTGTCAATTGATTACTTGTAATGGGTTATACTGTGGGCGAAAAAGTTGAGATAAAACAAAAAAGCTTTCACTTGAAACTTTTTTTGAGTTCACAAGAATTATGAAAATAAGTAGTGGTCAAAATATAATGAAAAACCCTGTACGTTTTTGTTATTAATTTAGATTATAGAACAGAGTACCTAATTAATATTTTATTTTATATTCTGTCATATTGTTCCTTTTCGTTTCCCAAAATTTGTTATTTTCATTTGCATTATTAATAAATTCCTATCACTGCATAGGTATTGGGTTTGGCTACAAGAAAATATTATTTGTAAATAAAGAAATATTATTTCTTATAATTACTTACTATATGTGAATAACCCTTTGTTTTCCATCGTAAAATCCACATTCACATTGTTAAATCTTCTTAAAATTCGTTTTCTTTACGTACTTTCAAATAAGTATATTTTTTAAACAATTCTCATGTTAAAAGTTCGTCTAGTCTCGACGTTTTCAATTCTTGTTTCTTTACATGCAGGCATTGTAATGCGAAGCGACATTCCTTATGACAAATTTTGAGCTCATTACAAAAACATATCTTTCGCGTTCACCTGTCGAGCGTTCTCTTAAATGGGACGACAAAGACAGAGAAAACTTTTGATAGGGATGTATCTCAAATATCGGCACACTTTAGTTCATACTATCACTTGGAAAAGCGCCGTTGCCAAATTTACCATTTAGAAGATAATTTAGGGAGTAGGGCGTAGCCTAATTATTTATGTACATTGAAAAATTATGAGGAATCGAAGAAACAAAAATGGAGGAAGGTCATTAAATATACGAACAATATTTTTTATTCTGAGCACTGACTGCTTACAAATAATAGTGGAAGACGGGACGTGATTGCCGCATGTAGGTATGCAAACGCTCATAGAAAAAAGAGGAAATTTGGAAATTTCATTGTGATACATACAGTGCGTTAACATATGGATCCTTTGAAATAAACATGAGAAACTTAATTATATTTGCATTTGAAAAAAAAAATAAGGAGAGATTCTCATAAATCGGCTGACTGTCTACCGTGATTAGACACATGGTTACTACACCTCTGCCACTAGTGGGCTGGCGAGAATATTCTACCTCTGTCTAATAAATAGCATCGTGTTACGGTCAAATTTACGTTTAGAACAAATCATTCAAATTTAGTTAATTATCAATAATACACTTATTCAAATAGGGTTTCGTTATTTTGATTCAAATATTTAGATTTAATGAATTAAAGCGATTTGATTTGGCATTAACACCATCTGTCTTGCAGGTACGGAATTCTATCCTTAAAATTAACGTTTAATTCTTTTGATCGTAAGTGTATCGTATAGAAAACAATTTATATTAAAACTAGTTTCCTCTTCTGTTAGGCTGTAAACGCTTGTTGCGATTCTGCTCTTCTATCGCAGTTTTCTGTTACCTTCGTGATCGGTGCTGCCGCCTTGTCCGTATATTTTTAAATACTAATTAATTAATTTATTTTATGATTTGGAACTAAAAATTTGAAAATTCTTTACACCCATTTTTGTAAATGTCTATGCATCAGTACAGAGACAACATTACATATGGATTTGTTTGTGCTGATTTAATTTGGATTATTTGTGAGATTTTCGTTTTCTTTTGAATCATACTGTATATGGTTTATAAACTACCTATATATTTTAAAATAAAAGGCGAGAATAGAAAAAATAATGTTTTTTTCTCGTTTTTTTTTTTAATCATACTGTATATGGTTTATAAACTGTTTATTTTAAAATATGGCTCAGCCCGCTGGTTGACCTGATTCATACAAATAATTAAAAAGTTCTTTATTTGATGTTTGTCTTTAAATATTTTGTTTCACAATATTTTGTTTCGATGTTTTGTAATAATTTTAAATTATGCTAATTTTGTCACACACCGTGTTTGTTTGAATATTAAAAAAATTCTAGATTTATCGATTTTTAAGGCTTTAATAATATTTTTCTATGACTGAGCGTTATACATAATATAAATAATAAATAATTCAAAAACTTACAAATCAGTTTTTCGAAAATTCCAACCCCGATGAGATTTTTTCAAAAATAATGGAGGCATTTTATCTGCGTTCTTATTGTGATATTAATAATGATAACATACTCAAAAACCTGGACATTTATCGAAAAACCAGAGCTATTTTATTAATTATTAATTTTTTTTATTTATTCTTTTCTTCTTATATTTTACTATTTATAAGCACATACTATTAAGTTCCATTCTTATAGCTTTGTTTTATTTATAAGTTCTCTTTAATTAGGATTTTGTTCATACGTACTAAGTACTGTTCATATTTATTGTATTATGTATTATTTTCTGTTATTGGGTGTACAGGGTGGGCCAATTAAAAGTTCCACCCCCCCCCCTTATCTTTGTTATTTATTGAGTTATCGAAATAATTTTTTTCTTCTTTGAAAGAGTAGACTAAATACTTTCTTAGGATGGATTCAATTATTCTGTGACGTCATGGCTTACTTCCGGTTTTTCCGGAAATAACAAAAAATCGTAATTTGTTTTTTATTTTTTAAATTGAAACTCACTTTTTTTATTGGTAATTTGGATTTCTGGGACATTTTTGTATAATAATCGTGTATTGAAATTTTTCTGACAGCTTTCAAAATGGCCGCCATATTGGATAATATTTGTTCTAAACATGTTACTATTAATTCGTTTATGAAAAAAAAATATAGGAATGTATGATCTTTATAAAATCTTTGTTATTTTCAAAATTCCCGTGGAGACCCATTTACCGTATACCAGTGGCGTATTTAAGCATTTTTAAAATTAGCGAACCGTTTAAAAATTCCATCCGCTTTTATCTTCGTTGTTAATTGAGATATCGAAATGAAAACTGTTTTGTTTAAAAGCTTATACCAGATACTTTCATATACTGGATCCAATTGGTCTGTGACGTCATGGCTTAATTGCAATTTTCAGTTATATCCGGGAAAATCGGAAATAAGCCATGACGTGATAGACCAGTTGGATTCATTAAATGAATTATTTGTTATAAGCTTTTAAACAAAAAAGTTATCCGATATCTCAATTAACAACGAAGATAAAAGCGGATGGAATTATTAAACGGTTTGCTAATAATAAAAATGCTTAGATACGCCACTGGTATACAGTAAATGGGTCACAATGATAATTTTGAAGCTTACAAAGATTTTAAAAAGCTCATTTAATTCTATATTTTTTTCCTTAAACGAATTAATAGTAACATGTTTAGAACAAATATTATCCAATATGGCAGCCATTTTGAAAGCTGTCAGAAAATTTTCAATACACGATTATTATACAAAAATGTCCCAGAAATCCAAATTTACAATTAAAAAAGTGGGTTTTAATTTAAAAATAAAAAATAAATTACGATTTTCTCTTATTTCCGGAAAACCGGAAGTAAGCCATGACGTCACAAAATAATTGAATTAATCATAAGAAAGTATTTGTTCCAGACTTTAAAAAAAAAAATTATTTCGATATCTTAATAAATAACGAAAATAAGGGGGGGTGGAACTTTTAAGTGGCCCACCCTGTATACCTGTTGAAAATAAATGTATTTTTATTATTATTATTCACTTTCTCTAAAATTTACTAATTAACATTTACCAATTAAAATTTCCAAATTATTAAATTACTAATTAAAAATTACTAAATAAAAATTACTAATTAAAATGTACTAATTAAAAATTAATAATTAAATTTATTTTGTAAAATTTACTAATTACTATTTAAATTTTTTTATCGAATGATTCATATTCAAATTATATATAGAAATTAAGTTATAACATATTAATTGCATAAAGACTAGGTGTAAAACAAAAATTGATGGTATTTAAATTATTTTAAATTTTTTTACAGATATTTAACTTCCACCCAAGCACTTGCAGATTTCGCATTCGTAATCGAACATCTGAAGAAGAGCTTCTTTGAAAATGTTATATCCTACGATACTCATCCGTTCGTTGCTTTTGGAGGATCATACGGAGGAATGTTGGCCGCCTGGTTAAGAATGAAATATCCCTATTCAGTTATAGGAGCTATTTCATCTTCGGCACCAATGTTCTACTTTCCTGGAATGACAAGCTGCGAGCTATTTTATGATAAAGTTACACAAGTTTTTGAAAAATATGGACACGATCAATGTGTTAAGACCATTAAATTAGGGTGGGACGTCATCATCAATTTGTCAAAAACAAAATTAGGTAATATGTAATATGTTTTCCACGATTATTTCACAGATGTAAATAATATGTTATATTTAGTGAGTCCATGACAAAACAGCGCAAGACAAAATAGCGTAAGAACAAAATAACGCAAAAACAAATTAGCGTTAAGGACAAAATAGCGCAAGGACAAAATAACGCCAAAATAACAAGTTATGTTTTTTTTTAATTAAAGAAATTCATTGAAATAATGCTAGAAACGAAATTTAGTACATTGTTCGCTATCGTCCAGTGTAATTAATAGAAGTTAAACTAGTAAAAGTACCGTAAAGACCTAATAAATACTAAACAATTGCTAATATTCCTAAGAGAAACAGAGAGGAAACCGATCCTAGTATATTTTTGTGAAATCCGGTACAATCTAGTACTAAACTAAAAAATATTCTGGCAATGTTATATTGTCAATTGTCACTGTTGTTTCCTGTTTCCTTCATCTTTATGATTCTCGTGACAGTTGTGACCTCGCGAATGTGGTGCATTTTTAAATTGTACTTTATTTGATAAGATGTTTTAGAAAAAGGTAAAAAATAGAATGTGACAAAATAATAAAGTATATTAACCGAATTTGGTATGTTACAGATGTATTGCATTGTTGAGTTTGAGAAACCGGATGATGACGGTCTTGCGGTTGTGAGGTGAGCAGAAAATGGCTATAATGCCGCGTAAAAAACAAGTCTTTTGGCCGCCTTTATAAAGAAATATAATATGATATAAGACGGGTGAGTAATGTTATACTTTTAATTTTTGAATTCTTTCAGGGTATTTTTTTAATAGTTTATTTAAAAATGAAAGATTTGTAGGGGCTCACTTGATACCTTTTATCATCTCACAAGATAAAATTATTTTTTTTTAATATTAAATGTATACCTCTGAGAAGGCAGTTTTGGGGGCTACTACCTCAATCTCCGGTGAAGTAATTCCCTCAGATTTTACAACTAGATACACAATTTATTTTCTATCTTTAACAATTTTCAGTGGTCTGTCTTTTAATAGCTCTTTTATTTTAGATGATAATGATAAGTGACGTACCAAATTAAAAAAAGTCGAAATTACCTCAGATCTACATTCCGAGGCGGATAAAGTACCTACCAAAAGAAAACAGGTGCCAACTAGAAAGCTGTCATTTGATGATACTGAAGATGATGAAATCGTAAAGCATGCTCGTCCACCTCCAATTAAAATTAAATCTACAATTTTAGGTATGTTGTGTTAGTTTCCCTAATATTCTTTTGTGATTTTATTCCTTTTGATTTCTTGCTCATGACTTTTTTATTTACCAGTGTAATTTATTTTTTATAATATATTTTTCATGTGTTTTTTGGATTAAATAAATAACTTTCATCTGCTTAGTATTTTTAATAATTCCATCCAACCTTGAGACACCCAATATAGACGTCACTTTGACGTTAGGTAGATTCGTGATAATGGCATCATTTTGCCTAGCCTAAATAAAAAAGGAAGGCTCCTATGAAGCAATACAACGTTGGTAGCCCTATGCAATTCCAAATCAAGAGGCCGCAACTGTTGAAGACGTATTGATAAAAAAGTTTATCTGTCGATTTGGAGAGTGCCCTTGGAGATCCACAGTGACCAAGGCAGAAATTTTAAAAGCCAACTCTACCGTGGAATCTGACAGACTAGGCATGAAGAAAACCAGAACCACGGCATTGCACCCACAATTCGATGTAATGGTAGAACGAATAAATAAGACCATTGGCAAATATCTGTCAAAAATGGTTTAAAATCATTAGAGAGATTAGGATGAATATCTTTCGCTCTTTGCAATGGCTTATAGATCCGCTGTCAATGAATCAATATGCCAAACACCAGCAAAGGTCCTGTTTGGGCGTGAGATGAGACTACCGTGCGACCTCGAGTTTGGATGCTGACCTGGAGAAGATGTAGCTGGTGAAGATTATGTGATACAGCTACGAAGAAGAATGGACGATATGTATGAATTAGTTCACTCGCATCTTCAAATCGCCAGCGACAGGATGAAGAAACGGTATGATACCCAAACTACAGGGATGTTTCAAGGAAGGCTAAAAAGTCTGGCTGGCGAACGGTTAACGGTAAACCGATGGTAGTGTACCAAAATAGGCTGTCGCCATTTGAGGGTGACCATGACGATGAAGAAGAAGTAAACCAGCTCCAAGAAACACCTGATCTTGTCTTTGAAGAATTTATGGGTACATATGGAGGTATTGGAAAAGCAAGACATGGTGTTACGACCGAGCAACAACAAGATTTGCTCTCGCTTTCAAAAGACTACTCGCTGGTCCATAGTACTTCCGCCAGCATCAACGACGCGCGAGTACTGGCATATGTGTTCTGTAAGAAGTTTGGTCGACTGCTCAATATCAGTTTCCTGCCCCTGGAAAAGCTTTGAAACTTCAAGACGAATCGCGCTATCTTTTCTATTTGATAACTAATAACACCTTACGATATCGATCCACTTATCATGATGTATGGGAAGTATTACTCAGTTTAAGGGAACACGTGCTGAAGTCTAATGTACAGAAGCTAGCCATGCCGAAGATAGAATTAAATTAGCTGGATTGGAGGATCATTAGGAGCATGGTGGAAGTAATCTTTCAAGATACCGGAGTCCAAATACTGCAGCCATTCGCTCAGTATCCAGGTTAAAACAAAGCCAGTCCCTTGTTACTTCCATGCAACTGGAAATTGTAAAAAAGGTTCAGTTGCAGATACAACCATTCCGTTTTAATTTCGTAAGAGTTCCAGGAGGAACTATCTCTTAAGGAGGGGGCAATGTAATGCAAGCTATTTCATTATTCAGTCATGCTCTAAAACCTCCAAGTTCCTCTCTGTCTTATTTAGCCTTTGAGGCTCAACTTTTTCGATTACCATACATAATTAAACTCCTTAAGACCAAACATATGTGACAACTATAGCGAAGGCGCGAAATATATATATATATATATATATATATATATATATATATATATATATATATATATATATATATATATATATATATATATATATATATATATATATATATATATATATATATTTCGAATGTCTTTAAACTGTTCACTATTTATCTCCACTGTCCATATATAACTGATTCCCCGTAGTTCCTCCACCAATATGTATATACAAATTTAAAATTCTGGTGGCTTTCACAATACTCCTCCGTTAAACTAGAAATATTTCGTTATATTTGGAATACACTAGAAACATTATCACGTTGACTCAGGAATGTGCGCGAAAGTGCATCCGCTATAGTAGTCACATATGTTTGGTCTTAAGGGGTTTAATTATGTATGATAATCGGAAAAGTTGAGCCTCAAAGGCTAAATAAGACAGAGAGGAACTTGGAGGTTTTAGAGCATGACTGAATAATGAAATAGCTTGCATTACATTGCCCCCTCCTTAAGAGATAGTTCCTCCTGGAACTCTTACGAAATTAAAACGGAATGGTTGTATCTGCAACTGAACCTTTTTTACAATTTCCAGTTGCATGGAAGTAACAAGGGACTGGCTTTGTTTTAACCTGGATACTGAGCGAATGGCTGCAGTATTTGGACTCCGGTATCTTGAAAGATTACTTCCACCATGTTCCTAATGATCCTCCAATCCAGCTGATTTAATTCTATCTTCGGCATGTATAAATTAGAATAGTATTGTTTAAAATAAATAAGTGTTTAAATAAATTATTAATAAATAAACTATTGTAAAAAATAAACAAACATCACAATGCCTATGTTTTTACACTTGTCCTTAATAGACAGTGGCTCATCGATTACCTTAATTTGTACTTAAACTTATAATTAAAAATTACCTATAAACTAGTGAAATTTTTAAAAAAGTACCATCTGTTGTACGACTTTAGTTTTTTTACAAAGGATAAAGGTTCGAGAGGGTTCTGGAATATGTTCACACGCGCTTTTATGTTATTTTGTCCTGTGCTATTGTCACGCTTAACGGTTAGGGGGTGGTAATGATTCTTTTTTATGTGATTAGGGATCGTCGCTTGGCTTCGAGAGGTAAAAATAGATAATCACCCACTTCCGCTAAGCGCGCTCTAGCCGATGTTAATCTCAAAATGCTCAGATTAACTTCTTGGTTTAGAAGGAATCTGCGCCACTTAAGATAAATCTCGGGTGACTTAAATTACCGTATAAGGAACTAAACTAGTAATAATAGAAACACCATGTATAAAAAATTCACAAACACTTTATTAAATGTCCGTAATCGAAGTACTCAAAAGACATAATCAAAAATCGATATAATAATATTAATAATAAAATTTGGGGTCCTTACCTCATTGTCATGGAGCAGTCACAATTTTTACTTTACTTTATTTTATTTTATCCCCAGAAATATTTATTAGTATTTATTTTATATAATTATATTTTTATGTTATATATATTTTACAAACCCCAATTATTTTCCCTGTGATCGATTGCGACCACCTTTTTTGCCGTCCCGCAAAACTACTAGGTTCGATTTCGCAAGACTTCCAAAATCCTCGAGTCAGCACAAAGTTCATTAGTTTTTAACTTAATTGTTTTGAAACTATGAAATGCATTCTCTACGATTTAAAAGTATTTCGAAATCGACCTACTATTCAGAAATAATTTAACATACAGGATATTAAATTATTTACTGAGTCGAATAAAAATAATTTAATTCCATTTAAGGAATAATTGTGACACTATTTTGTCTTTGCGCTATTTTGTCTTTTCGCTATTTTATCCTGCACTATTTAGTGTGCGCTATTTTGTCATGGAGTAGCATTTTAAAGAATTAATTGGTACAATCTACCCCTTTTGCACTTGCTTTTTATATAAAAAAGAATATATTTTTCAGGAATGGATTTTATATCTACTACATGGAAACTATGTGGAAAACTAAAAAATTCCGAAGACACCGAAATGTTATTGAATTGGTTAGGCAACATATACGTTAATATCGCATTGACAAACTACCATTATCCAACAGATTTCTACACACCTTTACCAGCTTATCCAGTGAAGGTGTTCTGCGATAAACTCACTACTTCATACTTCAACGATACCAAAGGTTTGATAGAACATTTTAGTCATGCCTTAGAGATATATACCAATTACACTGGAAAACGAGTATGTAATAATATAAATAGCTCAATCGACGATTACACCGAATTTGCTTGGGATTACCAACAATGCACAGAACTCGTAATGCCTAAATGTTCAACAGATGCTGACATGTTCATCACTAAGCCTTGGGATTTCGAAAAATACTCTATGAATTGTTTTAAGAAGTTCGGGGTCAAAACTTTTGAACCTGATTGGGCTGTAATAGCTTACGGAGGAAAAAATTTGAGACACTATTCGAATATTGTTTTCAGTAATGGTATGATGGATCCATATTCATGTGGTGGCGTAACGGGTAATATGTCTGCCTCAATCTGGGCGTTTAATATTTCTGACGCTCCACACCACATAGATTTGAGAAACTCCGATGTTGCTGACAATAATTACGTTTTTTCAGCAAGAGCATTTCACATTCAAGCCATCAAACAGTGGTTAAATATGGTTTAAACTTAATTTACTGAATTTGTATATTACAGATCGCATTATTTTTACTACAACTGTTGCCTAAAAGCGAGTTTAGAACTTAATTCAAATAAAATTTAGCTTTGTAAAATTAATTTAGTTGAGTGTCAAAAACGCTGTGTTTTCACTTATATTAGAAATTTAATATTAAGTGATGCAATGTTAAAATGAGAAAACATTTTTATTACTTTATTGAAATAAAAATATACCGGTACAAATATTGTGTGTTTTTTTGCGTACCTCTACTTAAATCTTCGATAGATTATTAAAGTCAAAATTTGCTTAAAAAAAATTATTTTTAATTTAAAAATTATCAGTACAAAATTAGAATAATAATATGTTTTATTAATTGAATATAATTAGGCATTCCAAACAAAATGACTAACAGTGGGTGCAGCAATTGTAACAACCAACTGTCTAAAGGACCAACGCTCGTCACCAAATGTAACAACCAGGAAGCCTAAAGACCATTTGTCTTTAGCTACTGTTGTTAATATACTATTAAGGGATTAGGGCAGCGTCGTCACCAGCCAAAGGGGTCCTGGAGTTCTGAAGGAACATCCATTCACCAGTGGCAAATAAAAATTGTTGTGTATTTAAATAATACAGGTTATGTTAGTTTTATTGGTTGGTATTGGCTACCCTGCAGTTTGACAATCAGGGCAGGCAATTGACATTAGACATTACATTACTCCCGCACTTTGAATTATTGTTCTTTGTTCAATTACATTACATTGTTATATTGTCAATAAAACGAATACATTCTTCGAATCAAGAAAGTACATTTCATTTCTCTACATATACAATAAAAATAATAAAAAGATTAAATTAAAAAAATAAAAAGAATCATCTCTTAACAGCATAGTCGAGCGGTTCTTGGCAACTAGTTTCAGACTTTTTTAGTCCTAAGGGAATAGAAACGCCGAGGCTTCTCAAATGCTCGGAGTATTTTGCTGGTTTGAAAAGGGAGGAGAGATTACTAATAAGTATTAAAACATTAACAAATGTATGTTAACAATAAATATAAAACTTGACAAATAGTCTTAAGAAAAAAATGAATAAAATTCCATTTAAGGAATAAAACCCTATAACTAATAGTAATAAAGATATGCATGCATAAGATAAATATAATAATTTGGGACGAAAATGTAAAATTGGCATTTATATGTAAATCAATCAATCAATTATTATTAAACAAAACACTTTAAAATTAAGTTAAAATATTTACCCATAATTCACATCGTACACAAAACTTTACTCTACACATCACATAAAAAGACGAGAACTTTCGCCCAAGGGGCGAAAGTTCTGGACCTTAGTCCGAACTCGACTGCGAGTTTACCCAACTCCCTTTCTTTCTGTCTCCTCTTTATATAAACTAAAATTTACGTGATATTTGGTTGTATTTAAAAATGTCACGTTCAATGTAGAATAATCTCAGATAAACAAATGAATAATAGATAAGTAACGGTCTGGATGTGTTTGAAGCTAATATGAACCGTTTTATCTATTACTTTCTCTTTCTTCTTGGTCTTTGATGTGATTCGTCTATTTTAAATAGCAGCGCCATTTACTCACAACTGTCAACAAGCATTTGGAAACTGTCAGTTTTGTTTGCACATTTTGTGTGATTTTATATTCCCAGGGCATATTTTTTAAGTTTTTAGAGTGTCTAAAATGTTTATTTAATGAATTTTGTTAGTTGTAAGTCTAAAAATTATTATTCAATGTTTGTTTGCCCTGAAACAAATTTGGAGAAGTTCCAGGTCGTTTCAAAGGTAAGTAAATGAAACACATGGGCGGTACACCTATATTGTAAAATATTATTAGTATTTTTTTAGACAGGCTTCCTACAAACTGAAGCAATGGAAATTTGTATTCAAATCCTAGAATTAGAGAAGGTTGAAGTTGATAAAATTAACATAAATTGGAAATATAAAATATATTGGAAACCTTTTATAATATTTTGTTATGAATTCTGCTGGAAAAGACGAATTTAAAGCTGGAAGCAATTACATTATAAACTTGGAGATTAAATTTAAAAATTAAATGCTATATCGTATTCACCTAGACAAAGTAAAATAAATCTTAGTGCTTTCTGAAAAGAAAACATTTTATGAAAATATAAACTACTCCAAAGAGTTTCTTGTATCTTAGTAATAAAATGAATTATACTTATAGAATGATTATGTTGTAAATATTTTATAATTCTTTTTAGGGAAAATTTACTTCCTAATGAATGTAGTGAAAGGCAGAGTGATTTATAATATGCACATACTGGATCAGAAAATGTAAGTTGTTCCACCGACATTGCTCCAGAAGCTATAGAATAGGTTATTCAATTTATAAAGAAGACATCTATAAAAATGCCCAAATTCAGAGACAAAAGGTTATGCTAAAAATAATACATTTAAAAATGCCCGTTTTTAAAAAAATATTTGTCACATATCATTTTGGAGATTATTAAAATATCTAAAATTCCAAAAACTTTTAAAAACATGTTAAAAGTTTATAAATGAGAAGTGTGTTAATCTAGAACAAGTCAAAGGGGGTTATTTTCTAACTTTCAGCTGAAAAAACGAAAGCGCCAAGCAGACTTCTTCTCAACAAAGTTCGATCACCAAAACAACAAGCATGTGATTATGGTATTCTCTAATGGTAGACGATTTTGATATTCGTATGTGATTTTAATTTTTGTTGTAATCTGTCATAATAATTATAAATCGTAAATGCTGATTTGTCTAAATATCTAAGGTTAGTATTTGCATGTCATTTTGACATTATTACAATTAGGCATTCCAAACAAATAAATTACCAGTGGGCAGGTTTGGTATATCTAAGGGTGGCGACATATGGTGTATTCTATCTACTTTACGTAAAATCATGAATAATAGATTACATTTAAATATTTTATGTCAAACACAATAAAAATAATATTTAAAAACCCACCTATACATTTCTTCATAAATTGGCAGGCTTGGCGAGTACTACTTCGAATAAAAATAGCGTCCAAGTTGCAAGACTATGTCGTTACCCCCTTAAATATACAAGAATTTCCCACTGGCACCTATTGTTTGACAGGTCGTTGGAATGCCTAATTATAAAATCAATTAGAATATATTAAGGCCAATTTCAGAATTGTAAGGAATCAAAAACAATAAACATCATACATTTGCTGACATTTTAATATTCAAGTCATAATATTTAGATATATATTTTAATGTTTGACTTATCTACTTCCGAAAATAAACTTTTTTGAATGCGCTTTACTTTTTTCAAATAGGAACAGCACAACAAGTAGAGAATACCAAAACGTTTGTGCTTTACACTTTTGCTAGTTGTCGCGTTTATGAAGGGAGCTGAGTGCTTTCAAAAATGGTTAGACAATAAGCCCCCGTTTTAAATCAGCGAAGTAGAAGAAGGTTTCAATCTAGAATATCTGTCAATATTCGCTTCTAACATTTATTTAAGAGACCAAAAATTACATGAGTGAAAATGCATCAGAATCAGTTGAGGTACCTACTTATCTAGTATTAAAATAAAAATAATTCAATTTGGTGACATACATGTAAATATAATATGTAGCCCATGCACAACTTCGGTTCCTATGGGATTTCCATTATATTTCTTTGAAAATAGACACTCCACTAACCAATTTTATCCTTTTTTTTATTTATAATTACCACTTTTGATACTTTTATATTGTATTTTTTTATTTATTTTATATTGAATTTTTATAATTTAATTCTTGTATTGTTTTTTAATTTGCGTCAATTGTATGTTAATACATTTTTGGATGAAGCTTAATTGAGTATTATATATAAAACAGACAAAATTTAATTTATGTGATTTATTAGATGTATACAGGAGGTTTTTCAGACATTATATATACCATGTAGGAATAAACTAGCTAGATACTGGCGTCAAATATCTGGAATTCTTAATAATTGCTCTCGTGAAAAATGAATGCATGATACGGATTTTCTATTCTTAGATAAGTTGTTAAATGGATGTAATATTACTTACCAGAAGTTACTTGGCCTCGGCCGTAAATTTCTGATTCGGCCGTAAAAGATCAACTCGATACTTACAGCCTTTGGTACACAAATATCTATTTTAATTCTATAAATGTCATTAAAAATTTATCAAAAATGTATTTCTCATCTATAAAATTGTTATTTATGATAAAGAATTATGTTAGTTTATAAGAACAAAAATAAAACCTGAATTGATAACAAATCAGTGAAAATGTTGCTAGAGTTGGGGACGCTTTTATACAAAATTGTAATGTTACTATTTTACTAATAAAGCTACAGTTAATTTATCTTAGCATTTTATTTAAATATTAATATATTATCCGAATAAAATTAATGACGTTAGTCAAGGTTTAAAGGCCTCGTCACTTCAACCTTTTTTATGCTTCTAGTTTATATGTTTGTGAAAAGAGATCTATTGTTAATTAACAGTCTCCATTAGATCTTTCTTGGAACAAGATTACAGACTATAAAGGTAAGTTTCAACAAATTTATAGATTGGTGTCTATCCATTATAAATTACTTTCAAAGCATATAATACGTTTGTTTATTCTTAAGAAATGATAAAATCTATTACATATCATTTTTTTTATATTTTTAATAATAAGTAACTGCCTTAATTTCTATTTTTTGAAATCCCTCGTATATGCTAAAAAAATTTAAATTTATCACTTCAAGTGGTAAGAATGCTACCTTTGGGTATATAAGGGAAAAGTAAATTGGATTTTTTTTATTGTTGAGTTTCAGAAATATTAATTTCTCCTGGTTTTAAAATAAGATGAAATGATTAAAACGGACCTACAAAGGCACTTTGTGCACCAATCTCACCAGTACTCCTGTGACCTAATGGGTAAATTCAGTTTGGCTTACTTTTTTCAAAAGGGATTGTTGTTCCATTTTAAATATACAGTTTACTGATATCTACCTATAAACAATATTAACAGTGTAATTATTTGAATTATAAGTATCATTTATTACACTTGAATAAAAAATAGAATTTAATTTTTATAAAATGAAATTTTATGCATGAGTTGCATTGTTCTTTAAATTTGTTATTGACAAAATATTTACAAAAGAATGCTTTGGGTTCTGATGAAAAAACTATTTGATACGCCCATGGGGACCGCGGCTGTCAAAAGTTCGTAGATACTGGCTTCAAACAAAGTCTATGTAAAACTGCG